ATGTGAGGTTTATTCGACCTGCTAACCGAATACTATATTCGTCTGTTGAATTAACGTCTTTTCTATGTTTTAAAGTGAGACACTCCATACCGCAAAGCTACGATAAGTTCACAAAAGAGCCCTCACCATGCAAATTCAGTATGTTATTCGTGATCAGCATGTCGGATAACCTCCTTTGCCAACTTTCAGAAAAATCCATCATTATTTACAATTTTCCCCTTCATACCATTTACCTACCACAATCCTCACTGCGACTCAGGATTTGGTGGAACCCCAGCTGTGGTTGTAGCTTTCGTCGTAATCTACATATTGGCAAGGTTTGAGTGCTTTATGTTGAACGAGAGTTGCAAAACTTAGGAAGACTACTACCTAACTTAGCTAGGCCTTTGGCAAGGGTCGTATATAGTCTGAATCAGCTTCAAACGCTGGTTCCAAACATGCTATTCCTGGCTGCCGAGAACCATTCCCAAACGAGTTACGGTCTTTTCCGAAATTGGCATACTCATCGACTCACTGGTATCACGGCATCATCACATAAATGGTTATAAACTTGCGTTAGCTTCTTAGTGAGAAAAGATTGGATTTGTACTATTTCGATACCGCAGCACCTTTTTGTTGCAGATTTTTATCTACAGACAATATCTTCCAAGTCCCGATTTCATAATAGATTGGAAATAAAGACCACTTACCAAACCTGTGTGGCACAGAAGTAATTTGAAGATATCTACAGACAATCTTCCGATGTTTGGTAGTATATCAATTTTACATTATCACAGGAAATAGCCCATAACTCACTTCGGAATGGTGCGCGGCAGATAAGAATAGCATTTTTGGAGTTAGTATTTAAAGCTGAATTAGAATATATATGCCCCTTGCCAAAAGGCTGAGCTAAGTTTCGTAGCTTTCCTCATTATCTGCAACCTAATATGTTTTTCTTGACGGGAATAGTGTTTATCACGAAGCAAGAACTAATCTCAATTTTTTTTGCATCCGCTTGCATAAGGCTCTCTATGTATATATATAATTGCAAAAGCATGATGACGCTCAATCTTATTTCTCTCTCTCATCAATCAAAACATAATCGACCTGTCCCTCCCGGCCTGAAGCAAAAAGCACAGGCATACTGCAATTGCTAGCGCAATCAAGTAGCATGACGAGCACTCACAGAAAGTATCGCTCGTAAACTTACATATGCACATCGATCACTAGGATATAAAGTAGAAGAAATAACAAAATTATTTCAATGTCTATAAAACTTCGAAATATAAAATTTTCTTGTTAATAAGGTCTGAACTTTCACAGATTTATGTTATATCTAGTAATAAGTTTTGATCTATTCCACCTACATTCTTCAGCTTAAAACTTTGTCACCGAATAATTAAACGTCTGCCGCTTTTATAAGAAGATAGTCACCATCTAAGCAAAAGACTGAGGAGAGAAAGAGAGATATTGGCACCTTTTTATGTATAACCATAGCATGAAGATTAACATTCTTATCAAGCTAATGTTATGAAGAGCTATCGCGAGTTCAAGAAAAATGGTTGCTGGCTCATTTGTATGTTAATACATAAAGTTTTCAAGTGCCAGAAGTAATCGTGATGCTTTGGCTCTTCTATTCAGCTTGCTCGAAAGGATTTCTTTTTCTGATTCAATTTGCACTCGTCTCTCTCGCCTTTCACGGCCGCAGAAAGCTGACTTTTCTCTTCATTTTCAGTGCTTCTGTTGTTTCTAGTTTTTAAAACCACATTATACAAACGACAGAAATGGAGATTTGTTTTGCACAAATTGTGAAATTTTTAGGCCAAGACTAGGGCTAAAAAAGTTCACAGTTGAAAATTCAAAATTTTGCTCTAAAGTTGCCAGAATAATTTCCATTTGTGCACCGCACCGCAGAGAACGTTTGACCCTTCTGACGATTTGCTATTTCTCCAGATTACTTTTGGAGGTCATCGATTTGCCCCGACTCGAAAGTGAAACCAGTATTATCATGATTATGCGAGTCTTTTTTTTATGCAGGATTTTCAAGGTATTTGCTTACAAATGCTGTTCGCAACCTATAAAGCTGTAAATCTGATATTCGTTCAATTTTATATGTCAAGTAGGTCAGTGAAAGTAGCGAAGATACTCGCTTGCGTGGAAGACACTCATAAAGACTTGGTGGGGTTTACCTCAAGATTTTGTCCAGTTTCACTGTATAAGTTATAACATTACAGCAAATAAACCAAGCTAAACTTGCTAAGACTGCTTGTCGATTTCAAAAAAAACATCAGCTGCAAATGACAGGGCGAAAGCATTGAACTATTTTGTAGCTTGCTTTGCAGACTAGCTTATGCTACCAAATGTAGGAACACAAGTACAGTATACATTAGACAACGTTTTCACAATTGAAAAGACATTTACTCTCACACTGCTCTCTGAGCGGTTGTAGGGAACTCGCAGTCAGCAGCAATCTAAGGGTTTCTTGCACCTTAGCCTTTTCGTCCAAGATTTAGTAGGCCTCAAAGATAAGCTGGGTAAGCTCCAAATTCTAAGGTCCTCGCTAACTGCACCTTGTTGGCTCAGCGCAAAATAGACAATATGCATCTAACAGAAGTAAGTGGCCCAGTCATAATTCAATGCGTGTGATAGCGAAATTTGTAGTCGTAGAGAAACCCACTTAAAAATTATTAGAACTACTCTATCATTGATTCTTTGCTCTAGAATATCCGTTTTTCATTAGCTTTCTTTGTACCGAATCATTCTGAATCATGAGGAAAAATCCCTGTATATGTTGCTTCTTTCAAACTGAGATAAAGTGTTGGGCCGCATCTTAGCGGTATGACTAGGATAGAAGTATTTTTTTGCCAACGTAATACCTTATAATTTTCTTCTTTTCGTTCATGAGAGCGATGCAAGTGCGAGTTTTTCGTATATATTGATTAATTTGACAAATTTCAATCAGAATCTATTAGGCCCCAGGGTGAATAAAAAACGGAATGCTTACCAACTCTACACAGCCTGCGCAACTGTCGATTGATAAATAAGATATTTCCTTAAGGTACAGACTCTGTATAGGGTGCACTTCCCACAAAGTTTTATGCTTAGGTACCATTCGATAAAGCCGCCTTTAACTTAGATTTACACTATGCAGCAAATCATGCACCGCTCTTCATTACTGTAGGGTGACGGTAGGGACTTTGAAGATGGTTTTGAGCCATCACTGGTCACATATTGCCCATAAAACTCAACTTCGCGAAATCCTTATCATTAGGCTAAACTGAGTCGCTGATTATGAATGGAATTCGCGCTCTACCATAAAGCTTTTTCCATAAGTTATGCCAAGTAAATCGCAACAACGCTGTTTCTGTGTTTTCAGAAATGCTCGTAAATAGTTGTCTAATGAGATTAGCGGTCCGAAAACACTGTAACAGGACTTTTCAGATTTTTGGGAATTTTTTTCTCAAACGCCGATCTCACAATAGGGTTGTATGATGAAAGTTCTCACTGTAATCTTATTGTAATAGAAAACTATAGGTGATTCGCCGCATGCTGTGAATTCAAGTTGAAGCCTGCTCTACTGAATGGTACTCAGGGATAAGCAAAAACTTTGTGGGAAAAGAGTTACCAATCATTAAAAAGTGTGCACTCTCTTCTGGGACACTATGTAGCCTGCAGTTTCGTTTGCCCGCTGGCTAAATAGCCTAAACTGTGACAGGAATAAGAGGTATAATTTCTTTAAATTTATATGTGTGAAGTTTTCTTGCAATTAGATTCGGATGTGTTTTTTTTTTAATCAAACACGTCAACTGGAAGTTTCATGAATGAAATGTGTGCACCTTGAGAAACAATAGATCTAGAGGCGGCAATTTCTCTTTCTGATGTGTAACTATCGCCTGTTTTCATAGGCTTGTGATCAACAATCAGTCCAAATAACATGGTACAATTCTTCGGATCCTAATTGCAAGGTGCCTTTACATGAGAAACTGCTGTGCTTTTGCAGCGAAGGGGCTGCTGAGGCAAAAATTCACAGCTGCAACAGCTGCAGCAAATGCCTCTGTTTTGCCTCCTTTCAAGAAAACTTGACATTCTCCTATACAGTAAAGCTCTTCTAGTTTAGAATGGAGGATAATTTTGGGTAACTTTCAGATTCTAGTCCTTTTCATTTCTTTACCGCACCCCTTTAACTGAATCTACAGATTTCTTCTATAATTTCTGCGTTAGCAAGCAAGATAGCGCAGATAGCGCACAATGACCCAGCCCTACGAATCAAGTTGGTAATTTTTGGTAATTATGGCATTTATTTTTCGTCACGCGCTCAGCTCCTTCGGTATTGAATAATCCGAATCTTGGCGGCAGTACGCAGACAAGCAATAGATCGGAAACTTTCATTACAATCATTTCGATCATCAAAACTTTCATTTCCCTTGGGATTAAAATACTGGGAATTGCACGTACATAACGGTGCCCAAAGCAAGGCGATTTTAATTTTTGCTTAACTCACTTGACCATCATGTATATTTTTAGTTTATTTTATGCCAAAAATTCCCAAAATTCTTTGGAGAAGATGTTCTAGCTCAAAACTTTATAATTATGACATCTTCCAGATCATGATGTTATATCTGTTTCCTTTCACTTTGCGAATTTGAGTAATTTAAACATTTCGGAGTCCGAGAAGTTGTAATGCCGGTAGAAAGTTCGTTGATTATATGTGCCAATCCGGCTGAGAATCTAAAACAGCCAAGAAAGTTTAGCTTGGTTGAATACACATTATATTATCAGGTACAGCTCTACTTACTATTTTAGGATTTAGCACCCAAGTCCGTTTCACATGTACCATTACAATTACCCAGCATTAACAAGTTCCTAAATTGTTTTTGTAGCTCAAACATTTACCAAAAAGCAGATCCTTCATATATATGAAAGCTACCAGAGTCAAAATGTTTGAGTTCTCTGTTCCTCAAAACGCTAGTGTTATACCACTTACGCTTTAAGATAGTTTCAATAATAAGGAGCTTCTTTAGGCTAACCAACAAAATTAGCAATGGATCCATAGGACCAAAGTCAAGCAATGGATCCATAGGAGCAAAGTCAATGGACAGGGAAGATGGAGATAAAGAGTGGGTGTTTTCTCAGATTCGCTTATCGATGGAAAATAATCTTCGAGATCCGCGAGACGTATTCTTAGAGGAAGTCTTGGCTGTCTCTCGGCGTGAATTTCTAAAGTTCAAAAAACATGCATGACACCGAATTTGGTACTTATTGCCCCCATTCCAATAGAACCCGCCTGGAACTCTTTTCTATAGACTGCAACTTTGAACGACTGTCTAGAACTGTGCAAAATTGAAATACTCTAATTTTCTTACATTCTATTCAAAGAGCGTAAGAATGAGCTGCGCGTTTTAAAGGTTATCTGGCCACATTACATCCCGTTTCAGTAAAATCCGAAAACTAGATGTTTTTCCAGAAAATTCAACGTACATACGCCATTACTTCATCAGATGAGTAGATGAATGCTATAAAAAGTATACACACGCAAAGCAGTTGCACTCCCTCAGGCTCTTAGCGGCTTAGGGCTTCGCATTAGCGATATTTCTCAAATACACACATCGATACGCTTTCATGCATCCCACTCATATCTGCATCAGACAAGCAACACTGCAAATCTAGCTTCTTCATTTTCAAGTGTGCTCGATTTACCTCTTCCAATAAATGGAAAAGTTAGTTTTAATTTGTTCTTGTGTTTCATTTTCTCTAAATTAGTCATCCATACGCTGCATGAATATCGAGTGTCAATATAAATTCAAGGCTTTTTTGATTTCCAACACTACGCGTAAGAGGAAGTGGATTGCGCGCGCCTAAATGAAGAGATACACTTTAAATATATTCGTGGATTAAAGTGCCTCCATGCTCCATGTCAAGCTTACGGGGAAGGCTTAATAGCAGTCCTCAATTAACGACGTGTAACAAATGCAGTGATTCTTATTGATGGATAATCGAAATCATGAAGGGTCTATTTTTTGAGAACAGGCCTAGGAAGAGTCTATCTTATAGTCTGAGCCGGGCTCCACACAGGTGGCTTATAAGCATGCTGGGGGTGTCTTTGGGGGCAAAAAGCAAAGGAAAGGCCGAAAAACACAACTTAGGTTACGTTTTTTAGTCTACGTTTCGTTTTTTAGGGTTTTTTACATTTAGGGTTTGGTATCAAAGGAGATTTCGTAAAATTTTACGAAATTCAAAGGGGACTTCGTTTCTTGCACTCGCCCTGGTCTGAGTGATAAAGCTTGGTTATCCCCATAGGTTTAGCAATGATCAGTTCCCTAAAATGTACGAGTACTTGGAAAGTTTGCCAAACATAATGACTTTTCGTTGCCTTGTTGCAAATTTATAAAAAGGAAGTCGTGCCGGGCTTTCTGAGAGGGATGTACCACTCGTACTCTTTCACATCTACTACAGGCCCGATATTACTTCAACGTAACTGAATGAATAAGTAATCGGTTTACGTCTGAATCTATGAAAGAGTGCTTGACGCCAAAATTTCGTACAATGGCGCAAGCTATAGCCCATAGGGATAGTGAGAAAATATCTCTGCTTTTTATAGAGACGCAAGTACCAGGTTTCAGGGGTATCCAAATACACAAAATGATGAAGCAAAAGAGACTACTTCTCATTTCAGTGAAACATGTCTTCATTTTAGTTTTATGAACGTGCTCGATCAGAGGAAATCTCCATGGCGATCGCTGTGGATTTCTATAGCTATGCAATTTATCGTTGGAATACAAACTTCTATTTATTATATGTCCATGTGGCCTTACTTACAATTGGTAAGTCTCCACTCTATTCAAAGATAAGGATTGAATTAGTTGAGTTTTTATAAATTCAGATGGATAAAACAGCAACTGTAGATTTTTTGGGATGGGTGATTGCTGCCTGCAGTTTGGGATCATCTGTCGTAAGTGATGAAGTCATACTTTGCGTTACTGTCATTAACGTCACTTCCCTTTAGGCAAATCCGCTTTTTGGATTATGGAATCAGAAAACATTATCGATCAAGGCTCCAGTCATTGTGGGTATGATTATGATGTTGATAGGTATGGAACATTTTGTCATTTCTTGCTTAAACGAATCTCATGAGAAACAACTATTGCTTTTAGGACAGGTAGTGTTTGGTCTCTTACCGTTGTTCAACGCTGGACAAAAATGGATCATGGCCGCTGCTAGGTTGATGACTGGATTTGGTGCAGGTAACTAAAATCTTCTTTACTATATGTACGATTCTCGACCATTGAAACTCAATATGAGATGGGTTTTCTGAAACTGTATCTTCTGAAGATTTTTTGTGAAGTTGTTGGAAGGTTACTATTCCACATAAAAAGTAAAAGTCATTTGTAGAGAGCTCTCTCTCACGTTTGCAGTAGTTTCAAACAAAAACATTCAAGATAAAAAAGGGGAATTATTCTGAAAAATACACTGTGTAAAGAAGATGACAGATAAGCGAACCTATGTACTTAATGTGCATCTATATTTCGTCTATATTTGTCCTTATATTTTTATATTTCTATTTTGGGTTACTACTTGGTACATCATTGTTGCATATCTCCTTATTTTTGAAGGCTGAAAATTTATTGATAATACTCAAAAAGGTTTATAGCATAGAATTACTTTGCTAGAGCATGCAAAATTTCATTTTTCAACATCTAACTATGGAGAAAGTGTGGGTTAATGGGTGGCATGTAATGAGCGAGTAACTTTCTTGAGCAAGTTGGAATTTTGCGGGACTCAATTGAAAAAAATCAATTTTTGGGTGCTTGAAACTCGTTGGATATCCCTACCAAACTTCGTCTATGTCGAGCTTTTTGCGAATGTTTGAATGACGCTTTGCTCTATCAATTGAGGTCTTCCATACGTTCTTCTCTATCGTTTGTCTACCGTGAAAGAATAAGGAACGATCATTCAACCTAATATTTACCGAGCTCATAATGATTGTGATCCAAATACAAAACACTTGCAATTTGTAGAGTATTTGCAATTGAATAGATAAGTAACATTTTCAGATCATCCTTCAGGTTTCGAACTTTCCAATTCTGCTCTTGATTCATTTTAGGAACTTTGTCGGTTCTGCGAGCATACGCAGCCACAGCGTCCACACCGCGCGACCGTCTTACGGCCGTGTCGTTTGGTACCGCTGGGTACGTTCTAGGTCTTTCCTTTGGGCCGGCTATACAGGTATGAGCAAATTCGTTTTGCACCACAAACCCCTTTTTGCATCGCTCAGAATTATCCTTTGTTTCAACTGGAATGGCGGTGGAAGGCGGGGCTTTGTGACTTAGTTAAGGAGGGAATAATCAGAGAGCGCGCACGAAAGAGAGATGCAGATTGCGTTGCGGGCGCGAGCGGCCTTAATTAGGTCAGGATGCCCTTCCTTCCAGTCGCTATTCCAGTTGACTCAAATGTTAGAGAATCCTACTATAATAACGCGCTAAGGGTGTTTACGTTTTTTTGTGTGTGTGTGTGTGTCTGAATGTCTGTCTGTCACGAAATTCATAGCGCAAGTTCCAGCAAAGGTCTTGAGCCCAAATTTTGCATAGCGTATGCTACCAGCATAAAAGTCCACCATGCGAAAGCACGAGCGGATTTGTTAGGTGGATCCCTAGAAATTGCGCGTCAGCCGGGTCCACTTTGCATTTGGCCCCCGAAATTAGGTCCGTAATTCCACTTTTTGAAGAGTCGTGGACGTTCATGGCAAGTAAATGTGCAAGTCATGGACTTAGGCCCAAAAAAGTGATCAAAAGTCCATTACTTTGCAAAAACTGCGCTAAAAAGTATTGGTTGAGTAAATGGTCAATTTATCAAGGTTCTACCAGAGCATTTGGCGAGATTTTTGCACAAAGATATATCTCACGGTGACTGCTGTTCTTATTGCAACTGTCAAGACATGGTAAAATCAAAAACCTATAAAAATTTGGGTTTGTTCTCCTGCAAAAAGTCTCATCCACGCAAAATCACCGATTTCACATGAAAAAGCTTTCGGAATGAGTAGTTGTTTACATTTTGTTCGTGATAGTCGGCATTGCTCGGTGAGTTCCAATGCCATCATTACGCGAGGACGAGTAGGGCCTAGATAGTAGAGCCAGTGCGAGCCTCTGCGAAGCAGAGGTGACGCACTGGTTTATTATAAACCGTTAATTTTTGAACGAATTCGGAATTATCTTTTTCGAAGTTAAGCTTGATGTAAGAAAGAAATATCTCTCTCCTCAAGAATGTGTCAAATTGAGCGAAAATCGAAAAATCAAAAAAAAAGAGAATAATCGAAAGCAGGAGTAGCCATTTTGGACAAAATCCATATCATTGGACGAAGTAGAGAAAGCTGTCCGCATGCGTCCTTTAGTTAGATGACAGTGTAAATGAGATTTAATCAATATTTATCTCAAGGAAGCCGTATAAAGAAGCGCGATTTGACTCCAATTCATCAATAGATGCAGAGCAGTCTAATCTTAAAGTGTGAACAAGATATTGTTTGTTCCCCCCGCAAGACTCCCATAGGTATCGTCCCTCCACAGCTCGTGCTACCCTTGGTCTGCGTCTCAGACCTGCTACGTGTGGCTAACATGTTGGCAACGTGGCAACAATGTTTGCAACATGCCCCAACATGTTGGCAGAACATTTTGGCCAAGCCAACATGTTGCTGCATGTTGCCAACGAGTTGCTGCCAACGTTGCCAATGTGTTAGGCACACATGGCACGTCCACGACGCCACAAGAATAGCACGAGCTGTGGAGGGGACGATATCACGTCATCTCGCTGCCTTTCGCCCTTTTGAACATGTTAACCTCGGGCAGTTCCGCTGAAATCTCAGGAGAAACGTGTCAAAAAGAGCGAAAGGCAGCGTCGCACCACGTACGCACGCTGGTTCACATGGGAACTTTTCTGGGGCACAGGCACCAGATAGATGCATGATCACATGATCACCTACAATAATTTTTTATACACCCATGAGCCAATATGCACCAACAGACAGACCGAGAATGGAGGGCGGTTGAGAGTGCTCGCCCCTCCGAGAATGGATCGCGAAACTTTATGTTACTTACATAATCAAAGACGCCCAGACGACATGTTTATACTTGTAAATAAGGGTAATTCTAAATTTTCCTAAAAGCAGCGTACACCCAAAATCTCGCTTTCGATGTTTTTGTCATTCTGGGGCCTTTTCGTGCCCCTGATTACAATTATAACATTAAAATCCTCCAAAAGTCCCAAAAACCCCAATTTCCGGAGACCCTCTCTTCGGAGGGGCGGACGAGTTTCGAGTTTCTCGATCCCGTCCGTCGGCATGCCAGCGAGGAGCAGCTGCAACTGCATGAGAGCCTGCAGCCTGCATCTGCAACTGCAACTGCAGCTTACGCTGTCGTGGATTTGTCCGAAGCAGGCGGGCTGAAAAGAAAGGGGCGGAGCGAAAAGAAAATTAGGCAGGTTTTCTCTGCCTCGAAGCAACATTAGGAGACCGGAGCAACGCAGTTGGTCCTCTCCTGGGCCCTAGATATGCAAGGTATAGAGAACTGGGTAACTTAACACGTTTCGGACCGCGAAATCGCGCGCGGCGAAAAAGAGGGTACTTTCGGCTGTCAGCCAACAAAAGGACCTTATTTCGTAGACTGTGTGGTACATCTGTAATCAGCATGTCAGATAAGATCCATACCCAAAGTTCTGTGTGAATTCGAAGTGTTTGAATTTTGTCGCTTGAGAAGGACTTCTGTGCTTTCTTGAAAGATAGGAACAAGAATTCAATTTCTAATTGTACCCAAAAGTATCTATGTTGTACGTGTTACATCTCATTATTGAGACTAGGGTTTTTCTCTTTGAAATCGAAGCAAAGAAAAGTTGCGACGTCGCACGCGTCGTTCGCGTTGCCGCACTTTGTTGCAACTCTTGTTCGATTTGTCCTCATATCTCCTCAACAAATATCGACGGCACAGCTCTACACAGTCATTTGAAAAGGAGGAGCTTAGGCCTTTGATTTGATAACCTTGGACAAAAAGAAAACCTCCTGTAAATGTTGAAAAGATCCTTCAGAGCCGCGTGCTGCACCATGTGCAGCACCGGTCCGAAACGTGTTAAATTTTGGGTGTACGCTGCTTTCAAAAATCTGAATTGGCCTTGCAAAACAGAACTTTTCATGAGTCTATCTCCACACCCTTACTTTCTGAAAAATTTGGGGTTATGAAACTGCAAGAATCTATATAAAAATGGTGCTAAGACTGTTGCGATGAACGATTTGGAAAGGGTTCCTTCGAATAAAGCTTGCCATTATATGGCGGATGAAAAGAGAAATTAGATAGTATATTCCCCAGAATACAATTCTGGAGTACTTGTAAGGCAGGAAAATGTCATGCTGTCATTCCATTTCAACTATTGGTTCTTCTCATATTCTAGTAAATTATACTTCCTAGGCAGCGTTTACCCCGGTGGGAGAGCGCGGCTTACATGCTGGTCGTTTAGTCTTCAATATGTACACAATGCCTGCTTTCTTTATGGTTATTCTATCGATTATCTGCTGTTTTATCGTTCAATGTCTCTTCAAAGAAGAATACGCAGGCATCATTAAGGAAGAAGACAAACAGGGCAAGATACCTTTTCATCGCGAACTGGCAATAACTTATACGTCTTTTGTTTGTTTAGATGATCCAAATTTGGTCATTCCACATTTCGACTGGATTCCAGCTCTCATCTGCATTTACCTCTGGGTCGTCTCGTGCATGGTGGCAACACAAATCGAAGTGTAAGTACCCATCACGTTTTTTGCCCTGAACTGAATTGCTGAAACGCTCACTTAAGCAGTGTTTTTCATCACCAGTGATTTGCCAATAAGAAGCTTTGTTTGGAAGAAAATGAAACCTATGCTTACGTAAGCTTTTGAAAATTATGACAAGGCATACAATTCCATACATTGCTGCCATTCGATGAATTAGTAAGTTTAACGACTCGTCGAATATACGAGAATTTTTTTTGGATTCGTAGCATAGAAACGCTTGGAATAAAAGTAGGCAACTCTACAAAAAGTTCTTCCTTATATCAGTTCTTCCTCTTTTCTCATGTCTCTAGTCTTCTTTCTTCTGTGGCCAAAATAATTGCAAATTTCGAACCATAGTTTTAGCATGCTCAAGTTCGGATTTTTTTAAATGCCTCATTTTCACCATTTGGAATTTTGATAATGGATGAATGAGACAAGCAAAGTGTAATACATAAGTTTTTTTCCACAACTCCTCCTGTTTTTCAAGATTTAATATTAACTCAAGTCAAGCCTCACAAAACATCAATTGACGAGCAACGCAAATGTTCGATACAAGGTATGACAAGACTTCAAAAAATTGAAGAACTTTGAGAAAAAAATGTCTTAGAAAAGCCTGGGAAACTAATTAAGGGTGTTCAAATGAACTATCTTATCGCACTTCATTTACGCTATCCATATTTTATCGTCTTCCAAAACTTCAAAATGAAAAATCTAAGCCAAGCTTATGTTAAAAATCATGGGAGACAAATCATTTATTACTTTGGTGGCCACAGAAAATGATTCATTGACATGAACATTGTGAAAAAGATGAATATCTGCGTCAAATAATTATCAATACCTTCATCTACTTTTCATTCACATTTTTTCAACGATAGGTCGAAAAGTGGAAAGAACTTCCGGGACGACCAAACAAATACAATGTCTAGATTTTTGAATAGGAGCAGGTAGAGCAACTATACCAAACAGAATAATTGCTTTGCTGTAATTGCAAAGTTCTTTTTAGAACTATCCTGTTATTTAAATATCGCAGTGTTTTTCTGAGTAGGTGTCCTTGAATATGTCTTGAAAAGATGAGCAGCACTATCAAGCGTATACAATCGGCTAGACCCCAGAACGCGGCTAACATCTTGCACTCTACTACACAAGCAGATCTTTCAGGGATATTTCCATCATATTTTAGACTCTCAACGCCATGGTCTCAAGCCATGTACGCCTGGAAAGATTCGAAGGCTGTTTTGCTCAATGGAATCTTTCAAACGTTGTCATGCCTCGTCTCGTCAGGAAACAGCTTCCTCATAGGATGGACTCGTATAGGCCATATGTGTGTTTCAATTTTCTACCCAATTTGCTGCACATCTCTCGCGTTTCGCAATCTTTCAAAGTCTGAAAATTGCATAACAACATGAAAAAGTAAATTCGCATTAAAGTTCCCTGTTGCAGAGAAAAACGAGTCCAGATCCTATTCGGCGTCACAATGTTTCTATTATTCCACATCCTCAACTACCCCTGGCCTTTCTACCCTGGACCTTTGGAATACATACCCAAAGGTGAGCAGCAATCGCTTCATGGCTTTACAATCAAAAGTGTAGCTTTCTGACACTCTGGTCGTTTTTGAAAACAGTCATTGTCTCATGTAAATATAAAAGTCTCAGGTTACAAATACAATCCCTTATTCTGCTAAAGTATCAGAGCTGAGAGATGTAAGAGTAGGGTTATAAACAAGATTCTATTACGAAGATCCTTCTTCCATTCATTACCTTTTCCTGCTTTCGTGAACTCGGACTCTTAAAATTTTTTTTTGAAGCTAAATGAAATGCGAAGCTGTCAATCTTATCAGAATGACTGTTTCTCTCAGGGAAAAATTCAACAGAAGTAGGAGGATGTCTGGAGTCATATAAATGGTGCGAGTCGACAGTGCGGGTTCCACTTCCTATTTATGTCATATGCTTTGTCTTCTTCTTTGGTGTATCGTTCCCTTTCACTGGATCACCTTCAGCAACGCTTTACTCTCAGATTCTTGGACCTCGTAAGCAAGTATGCACACTCTTATTCTACCCTTTCTGTGTTATGGGCATGTGACAAACCTTGCAAAGTATTTCAAAGTATCAACCACAAGATTGTTATTGTTAAGGGACTAATGCAAGGCCTTCACTCTTTTGGTGGGAGTTTCGCTCAGTTCGTCGCCCCAATTTACGCAACGTGAGTATGTGAATTTATGATTGCCTTGTGCTTTTGGTAGAGGACAGTTGCTGAAAAGGATAAATAGTTGAAGTTTTTGCAATTCATGTAAGGCTGGGTTTATACTGATTTCGGATCAGTATGAACTCAATTGCGCGCTATGTTGAAACTGCTCCGCGAGTGATATGCAAATGTCAAGCTGGAATTCGTTATGGATGGAAAGCAAAAAGGATGTTGTAAATATACGTTTGCATGTACATACACTCTCTCGAAAAGTTGCTACACGACTGCCAGCAAAAACACGGTCTTGCTCGCGCTCCATCTTCAATAATCCAAGTTTTTCTTTGTTAAGTTGTGACTAAGATTTAGGAGTATAAACGAACAAGGACTAGGAGGAACATAGTGCAGGGTATTGTAGAAAAATACCCTGCACTAAATTTTGAGACTGGAGGTTGTGGCGAGCTTTTTCCTGAAAATTTCCCACTACAACGTAATGTTAAAATCGCTCTTTGCAACACACAGATGACAATATGGCACGAAAATTGGCGCAGTTGGACTAAGGGACAAAGACGAAAAATTATGAAAAATTTATGTGAGTAGAGAGGCTTAACTTTTGCCAAATTAGGTGGGCTATTGCCCACATTGTGCCCCTGGGGTTAACAAAACTTCCATCTTACACAAATTTTTCAGAATTTTTACATAAATTTCTTCTACACCTAAACTTTGATATATAGTAACATTTTGGTTCCAAAACTCCTCCTCTCCTCCTTGTTAGGATAAGGAATAGCGACGACGAAGCGCACTCCAATCGAACAACCTAAGCACTGGCGGGATCAAGTGGGAAATCGTAAAAATCGATAGTGCCAAGGGCGAAGTCGTTTCACCGATGCTCATTTGACACCCTCGGGCTGGGCCTAACTGCTGTGGGACTTACGGATCAGTATGAACCCAGCCTAAGGTGTAGTACATTGGTTTTACATAAGCGTCAACTATTAAATGAAAAAATCTGTCTTGATTGCGCTTTCTCCAATGAAAAGTCTTATATTTTTGCGGTATTTGCACCGCTCAGCACAATTGACGTCTGGACCGGTAGTAATTTGTCCTACCTAGTAGTATCATAGATGATGTCATAGATGACACATCGCAGAAAGTTGAAAACTCCAGCGTCAGCTCGCGGACTATCTATAGGTTTTGAAGGTTTCATGTTATCTTTGTTCGCTGTCATTATCTCCTCATAGTTTTTGACCACGCAGTCCTCCTCATGGGACATCTCACGCGTTTGAACCTGCATGCGTCAAATTTGAGTGCGGGCGTGCTGCTAAACAAAAGACCACTCGTTCATTTTTGCTGTTGGCAGAAAAATAGCAGGAAGCACAAAAAGCTGGCATCTGTGAGAGGACATGGTCGGTAACGTGAGTGTGTTAGATTTGAACCTGAAAGAACAGCTGATAATGAACAACGATAAAACAGAATCGTTTCCAGAAGAGATTATGAAGAATTGGCAAAAAGAGAACTATCATATTAGTTTTGTGATGATGCTAAATTCTTTTTTTTGTACATCGACTGATTGAATAAATAAACCCCAAAATGAAAAATGTTAATATTTTGATGAGAAATAGAATTTTTAGATTTTTGCTTGATGTAGGTTGTGTGATATGTTGCACCACGCACAACAGACGCCGCCAGAAAATTGCCAGCATCCCGACTTGGTAGAGGCACGTCAAAGTGCTGGCACCTTTCTCTCTCAAAAGAGCACGCTATTATCCTGCTATTGGACCTGCCGGCGCTGCCACTTCAAAAATTCCGAGGAGGTGTTGACAGGCTAGATCGCGAAGTTGCCAGCACCATCTCCTATCTTTTTCAATATTACTTCAAGAATTTCTGAAATGTCAAATTTCGATGTATGTTTCCTCAAAGTCGCCTGGCATCTTCATCCAGGAATTTCCGTAGAAAGGCTTCAGACGGCTGAATGTGGAATCTTCATTTTTGCCGGTCTCACTTCAAGCGGCCGACAACCTACAGGCGGGACCTGCCAACAGGTTGAGAGAAGTCAGCCTTGATGTCAATACTTCACTGTATTCCAAGACAATAAAGAGTAGAATAAGCTCTATAATGAAGTGAAACCAATACTATTTCCATATTTCTTTTATCTTGCCAGTTGGAAAGAAGGTACATGAAACTTTTGACTTGAATTCATGGTGAATATAGGGTGTGGTTGTCGCATGTGCGTGTCTACTCGTGTACAACTTAAAAGCCATTTTGGCCATTCTGTGATTAATAATTTTGAAGCTATTAACTAATATTCTACCAGTGATTCAAAACATACTAAAAACAGGCATTGCTTTCTGTTGAATGACTGCATACAAAAGTTGTCACAATAATAGGCAAGTTCTTCCGGCGAAATGACACAGTTTTTACACTGATTGCTTGACCAACAATTCGTTATTTGCCATACTGAATGTTTGATTTCAGGTGGTTATTCCAGAAGTCCGGATATCAGTTCGTAATGGTAACACAAATCTGCACTTTGGGCTTAGCTCTCATTCTTACCATCGTCTTCTACAGACGATTGGTGCCACTGAAAATGAAGCAAGTCGAAAAACTAGATACAATACCAGAAGACGCAGAAAGCGCACGTCACGCGTATGTTTACATAGAGTAGCAGAAGGTTCCTGATTCAAAACAGCGAGATTCTGTCTAATGAGGTGTGAAATAAACAATTTCTCTGTATATTCTGAAATCTCGGCTCGTACTTACATCACGCCAGACTTTTCCATGTATACAATATGTCAGTTAAGAACAGTTCTTGAAAAAAAACAAGTAAAAGTAGTAACTAGGAAACTGGCGGCGTGTTTGTCAAATGTTCCAAAAATTTGGGCCAGCAACATGAAAACACCATTCGAGCCACAACATTAGAAAAACACTCATTATATCAGAGAAACCGGTGGTGCGCGGCTAGATCAAGCGTTCCTTTAGAGATGACAGAATAGAATTTGACAAAGAACAATGAAAAAACAAACCAGGATCAAGCAAAACCACGAAAACGTGTCAACATCTCCACCACACAATCAAATGTGGTGAACGATGAGAGAAAAGTAGCCAAGCGCTTACCTTTTCCTGGTTCTCAGTACTGAGGCATATCTTAAACCCGATTCCACAAAACGGACGGCTAAATTGATCCTCCCATATGTATGGCTTTGAGGTTTCTTTTAGATAGACTGCAATCTCAAAACGGTGCCTTATCGTTCAGAGACGCGACTGTGGAGTAATGAAGACAAGAGGACGCAGAGGTTCTAACACGAACGAGAGATCATGACATGCAGGGCGCCCTGCAGTCCAAAAACTGTTAAAATACGCATGAGAGATAGTGATCGTTGCGAAAGTTATGCATGAAAGCATATCATTTATTAAACCGCCCACGTCCCATCTACATGTGTATCTTATATATAAAGCTGAATGTCTGTTTGTATGTCTGTCTGTATGTCTGTACTGTCTGTATGTCTGTACGTATGTTCCGAATAGAAAATTCCATTTCTGAACCGATCCGGACCAAACTTGGCACACATACACTTTGGGCCCCGGCGGGTGTCATAGGCTACTTTTCGTCATCGATCGATATCGATTTTATCGATTTTTTGCAAAATTTGGGCTACGGGGCTGGGAGTTGGCACAGGGGGGTAAGTGAGCATGGGGATTCCGAATACAATATTAGTTCTTAAAATCGTGCATTACTTTTATCGATTTTATCGATTTTTTTGCAAAATTTGAGCTAGGGGGCTGGAATTTGGCACAGGGGGGTAATCGAGCATGCTGATCACCCCCGTGGGGGTGATCAGCATGCTCGATTACACCCCCCCCCCTGCCAAATTCCAGCCCCCTAGCTCAAATTTTGCAAAAAAATCGATAAAATCGATAAAAGTAATGCACGGTTCTGAAAAGAAATATTGTATTCGTAAACAGGGGTATATGTCAAGTTGAACGATAGCTGGTAACAGTGGCGCGCGGGGTCATGAACTGGCAATAACGTGTTCGCTCGAAGCTCCGCCTTACTGCGGCGGACGAGTTTCTCGGACGATATGTCAAGTAAAAATAACTTTTGATAGTGAGATATAAGCTTGTTGCAAGCTGGGGTGAAGCTTGACTGTTTACAGAATCTTGTTTTGATTTTTAGTTTCTTTTTTTGGGAATCAATGAAAACAGCTGATGTTTTGGTCGTGAAATTCGAGAGAATTGCTGATTTATCTATGAATGACCGAGTGACTCCTGGATGTCGAACTTTGAAGTGTGAAGTCAATCTAGAACACCTCAGGCATGATTATCTGAGCGACCTCACATCTTACGACTAGTTCACACGCAATTTCCATTGAGTTACAGATCGATTTATATTGAGGTTAGCAGCTTTTGGAAGCAAAATAAAAGAATTTTGTTATTTAAGGCAGTTTCGGAAATATATAGGTGCAGTATGATTCTCCTGAAACCTAAGAAAATTTATGTGATATGACGCATAGTTTCAAAACGAGTTAGTTCGCTTGAAACAAAATTCGCCTATAATGCTTGTTTTGAATTCTCGTCGCAAAGAAATCTGTTTTTAGTTCATATTAGGGTTTTAAAACTCACTTTTAGAACATATAATGGTGTTTCATTTCATAAGCTGAATTTTTTTGAAACTGAACTTGAGAGTACACATCAAAGCATATTCAATATGGTAACAGATGTAAATAGAGAAAAACACTTTTCCAAGCATTTTCGAAACAATTTCCTTATACCTGCAATAAAAAATCATTTTGGACAAGCCTACTAGGAACAAATAACTGAAACACATTAGAAAGAGCTTGCGAACTAATTTTATAATGAAAAATGGTCTAAAAACTGATTTTCAATTCAACTGAAATTTTGAAATCTACTGTTATCCAAATTGAAACCAACTGAAGAAGCATGAACGAAGTATTAGAGAGTTTTCTAATAGCTGCAACGCATTCCTAGACTAATTAACAGGGGGGCGGAGCGACCAGCGCACCGCGTACGGTACCCAGCTGGCGGCTGGCACATGCTATCGTTCATCTTGACTGCCACCCCGTAATCAGCATGCTCGATTACCCCGCTGTGCCAAATCCCAGCCCCCTAGCTCAAATTTTGCAAAAAATCGATAAAATCGACATCAATCGATAGCGAAAAGTGGACTGTGACACCCGCCGGGGCCCGAAGTGTATGTGTGCCAAGTTTGGTTCGGATCGGTTAAGAAATGGAATTTTCTTTTCGGAACATACGGCGGAGCCGGGTATGCCAGCTAGTTCATTATATGCTCGTTCGTTTCTTAAACTCTTTCCATTAGTTTCAGCTGAGCTACTTTTCTGACTATTTCCCATTTTACGCCCGAATTTAAGAAAATCTCCGAGAACCTTGCTTTTGAGAGCATTTGCTCTCATTGAATATTTTTCTTACCAGACTGTGAGCATGAGTGCGAGAATGACAGTGTGAAAGGTAATTGCATAGTGATCTCTAGTGCACAACACTGTTTTACAGCGATATGATCCACTTTCCTTTGAAATTTCAAGAAAATATCGGAAGGTCTCGCTCTGAGCGGTTGTGGCAATATAAGTTGCAAGTTCATTCCGGAAAATTATACGTTTTAAACAGCATTTATATATACCCGTAGGGCCGCTAGTATGAGGTATAACTCACAAGGGAAGCTACCTAACTTAGCTCGGCCTTTTGGCAGAGGACATTGATAGTCTGAATCAACTTCAAACGCTGATCTCAAATAAATATGGTGTTTCTAGCTGCCATGCACCATTTCGAAGCGAGTTATGGGCTTTATCCTGCGCAAAATCGGCGTGCTCATCGACTCATGGGCATCACGACATCATTTAAGTACTGATACACCTGCGTTAAGCTTTTTTTTAGTGAGAAAAGATTGGATTTGTACTATTTCGATACCTCCACATCTTTTTCTTGCAGATTTTTATCTACAGGCAGTCTTCCTAAGTTCAGTAGTATGCCAATTTTGCGTAGGAAAAAGCCCATAACTCGCTTCGAAATGGTGCGCGGCAGCTAGGAATAGCATATTTGAAAACACGTTTGAAGCTGATTCAGAATACGTATGCCTTTTAGCAAAAGGCCGAGCTGAGTTAGGTAGCTTTCCTTATCAGTATTTGCTGAACATAGACTGAGAAAACCAACTACACCTTTTCTAGAAGAGGATTTTGAACAATATTTTTGAGTGCTTTGAAGGAAAATTAATGCGGTGTAGCACAACTCCAAAATGTGGCAGTTACAGCTTTTTTGAATTTGTGCCACACTTAGTGTAGTTACTTTCAGAGAAAACACACACACAACTCACACACAACACACACAACACACGCAACGCACACACAACACACACACAACACACATACAACACACACACAACACACACAACACACACAACACACGCAACACACACAACAAAAACAACTCACACACAACACACACAACACACACAACACACACACAACACACACAACACACACAACACACACAACACACACAACACACACAACACACGCAACACACACAACACACACAACTCACACACAACGCACACAACACACACAACACACACACACAACACACACAACACACACAACACACACAACGCACGCACAGCACACACACAACACACACAACACACACACAACACACACAACACACACAACACACACAACACATAACACACACACACAAACACACAACACATACAACCACACACAACACACACAACGCACACATTTATTGGGTAATATATACATAGTTCAATACAATAAAATATAATAATTTTCGCAGCAGTTTAAGCTTGATTCGTGTTCGCTTGTCTGAATAACATTTGTTGAAAGCACAACCTATCAAAAGCGAAAAAGAAGGCAGATGAGAGCTGGCTCCTAATTTCATACTTCGGATGTTACTTGAATTGGAATTTCTCATGTGCTTAAAGACAGAACATTCTTGTATTGAGTGTGAAATAATGTAACCAATATGCCTCTGAACGAAAATTCATTGTGCTTGTGAATGACCATACAACATGAGTGGCCCAGTATTTGAAAACCTTAGAATTTGCCAAAACTTGGTTTACTGGATATTTGATTGAGATACTTATTACTAATATGTTACTCATTATTCTTGGTAGGGCTCACTGCTTAACGGTAGATAGGGCGATAATGTTGGGGTCTATTGCGATATTCAGCGAGAAAGGGTCGTATCCTGCGGCCATATGCCACACCTCTTGCGCAACCCTCTCAGAATAAATGTATGAATAAAATGTGTTATCTATCGCTTGTGAATGAGTTTTTACTTGGGCATTTATTCAATACCATGGCTACTTACAGCAGATTTATGCTTTTTTCTGTTTTCGCAAGTAAATGCTCAGTCGTGTAGGGCTCCATAATTTAATTTAGCTTACTCTTGTTTAGTAATGCCTGTTTTTGCCAAACTTCTTCAACATTTCTTTGAGAAAAAATGACATTTATGCTTTTCTACTTTCACAGTTCATGCCTCTACATGATTTAGAATTACTGGAAGTTTATCTTTGAGATCGATATCAAGACGATTCCCACGATAGTTGTGATAATGCCAACGACCAATGTTGTCAAGTCTCGGACACCCTATAATCGTTTGAAAAAGAAGAAGAATTTTGCCATAGCGACTTTACCTTGATTTCATGGAACAAAAACACTGCCCACAACGAAACCACTATTCCAGGCGATTTTGATAAGATTGGGTAGGCAATGGTCTGCAACAAATCACATTACAAAGTTCTGTCCATATGGTACTTACCTGGTCAAGGTGCTGGTTAGCGAGAAAAAAACCATACGTAGCAACTGCATAGATTATACCCGAAGTCAGCGATGGCAGAGTGAGTTCCGGATTAACAAAGGGGCGGTTTTTCCTGCAAAAACAATTATAAAGGATCATGGTGGTTATTTAATCTACTTACTTTGCAGTCGAATAAATCATGAAAATTATTGTTGACGTTAGCAGGGCTCCGACACAGAAAGAAAAGAAATACGCAGACACATTGGATGGATTACCGGTCTCAGTGCTATGCAGCACCAAATAGTTGATGGGTGTCAACATATTACCGTACAGACTTCCAACTAAAAATGTCAGAAGTATAGCTCTGGAAAGTATAGCAATACACGAGGTATTAACGAGACGGCTGACTCAAAACTTACGTGATCCTTCTAAAGTTTGATGGCCGTTTCGTTTCTTCGAATGACAAACGTCTCTCCTGAAGTAGTAAGCAGTATGAAGTTTGCTACAGTAAAAAGTCACACATTCTAACTTAACATGTAGTTGTGCACGTTTAACAAAGATCGAGAGCCATCCTGGCCAGCGATTTACACCATCTTGCTTCTACACAAATGAGAATCTCACAATACAAATGAGAACTCTGAATTTCTCATCTACCCGCTACAGTAGATATGTCGCTCGAGGATTTGCAAACGCAATGCCGAATCGTTTATGCTTATCTTTTGGACTGAAGAGAATGGAAAGATAGGGAAAATGGGCTTCACTTCTACCAACATTTTCTTTAAACCTTCTCCCAATAATAATGAGGAAAGAATGTGGAGCATGAATGCTTTATAGAGGTGCTCTACAGCAAAAAGCACTATGTGGTGAAAGATAAGTTGATCATATGATTTTCAAACTAAACATCGTATTATTAGCAACAAATGTATACGGGAGTCAATGTAGTTGGAGATTGTTTGCTTAGAAAGCACATTCATCTCTGAGAGAAAAATGCTGCGGTTATGGAAAGAGTACTTGAATTATTCAGGCCAGTCATATACAGGGTGTCCCAAAAAATATAGATACTGTTTGATTGTTAATAATTCCCTTGCTTTCATGTCTTTCGCCGAGCTTGAGGTACCATTCTATAAGCGACGTTCAACTTAGATACACAGTATGGAGCGAATCATCGATCGCACTTTCGTTAACTTAGGATTACGGTAGGAATTTCGACAAGGATCTTAAGCCGTTGGAGGCTATATTCTGCCTCAGAACAAAACCAAACAAGCCAAAACTCTTATACTAAGTAGTGGAAGTCACTTCACTGTGATGCTTCTTTCCAGAGTTATCCCAGGTCAACCGTGATAAGTGGATTCCCCGCATTTGTTAGAAATGTGATTACTCTGTCAAAAAAAAAGCTGAAAACATCGTAAAAAGTTGTGTATGAAATCAGCTTTCGCGAAAACCCTAATACACGATTTTTCAGATTAAAAAGATTGGTTAGATGGCAAGCTTCACTATGTTTTACATGCTGGAAGTTCCTACCGTAATCCTACAGTAACGAAAAGAGCGAACGATGACTCGCTCCATACTGTGTATCTGAGTTGAACCTCGCTCTACAGAATGCTACCTCAAGCTCGGCGAAAGGCATGAAACAATCAATTATTAACAATCAAACAGTGTCCACATTTTTTGGGACACCCTGTAATGTGTATGGAACCAATGCAAAATGTATTAGTATCAGCCTCAAACTTTGGAAGCAAGCACCGAATATTCTTAAAGAGAAATCGTGTCAATCATCTAGCAGTAGCATAGCGATATCTTTTCTAACTTCTAAACTGTCTTTTTCAGTCTGTCCTTCTGCGCGGTAAAAGTATTATAGTACCACGATTAAGCATTGATTTTTGTCTTTATGGAAAAAACAGATTGAGTCTAATAAAAAGAACTAGATTTTAGCAAACATCCTCAACATCGGTTGCCTCACGTCTGCATAAACCTATGGGCCGAACACCGAGCTGCATTCAGAGCCAACCTTTTTTCATACCTCCAATGTGTATTACAAGGTTTGATGGGAAAAGAATTGTTTTTAACGCTGGAGGATGGGGAGGAAGAGAGGAGCGGAGAGGGTGCCTGCATGTATAGCACTGGCAGACCGAGGGGGAGAATGGGTCGCGAAATTTTTGAAATTTACTTACATGGGTTATAAAAATGTGCAGGGACTTGTTTATTCTTGTAAAGTATCAAAATAATTTTTAAAACTTCTGAAAATTCAAGTGGCATTAGCCACGCCCCTTTTTTAAGATTTCAGGGGTTGTGGATCCGCAAAAATATTGAAAAGGAGCCTAAAACTTTCGGAGTGGGTGGCTGACTCCACGCACCCTCATTTGAAAAAGTTTTTTGCCGCCCCCCCCCCCTCCCCTCGATCCGAAATCCTGGAACCGCCACTGATGTATAGATAATTCAGAAATGACTTTCTTGAAGAATAGTAATTGAGTTAAACCCTAACCCTAATTCAACGTCATAAAGCAAGAACTCCGAAGCAAAAACTCAAAAGCAACTAAACCTTTCGTGGCTGCCATGGAGCAGGTCGGACCTCCATTGGATAGTGCTTTATCGTGGCGAAGAAACACCCACTAAAATAATTACATAGAAGTTGTACACATAAACGAACAGACACTACCTACCCAACGCATACAACAACAACTCCGACAGCATTCATGATTTGATTATGAGGTAGTTGCACGGGGTTCCAGAATAAGCCAAATCTCGTCACAGCCCAACCTACCACACATGTAATCGTGTTCCATAACAAAGATCCCACAGCCATGCCGACGCCATCCATGATATAGACCGTCAATGCATTTCCTGTGAGACACTCACAAAATTAAAAATTGGAAAATAACATCTTGCATTCGTACCAGTAGCGAAGAATGCTCCGCTGAGCATTGCCAGCGGAAAAATCGGAGGCCAGCCTGCTATTGCCAGAACGACAACGCCGAAAAGTGTCTGACCAAGACACATAAGCCATTGAAAGTAGAAGCCTAAATTCCTCTTCGCTAATCGGGAAATCCATCTTACCAGAGCGCAAGCTTTGCTACAAACGAGTTTATGAGTTATGAGCAGGGGTCGAGCAAGAGGTGCGGCACATACAATACCGCTCACATTTTTTGAAAAAAAGACGCGAATGTATGGACATGTATGGACATGTACGGACATGTCCATACATGTATGGACATGTCCATACATTCGCGTCTTTTTTTCAAAAAATGTGAGCGGTATTGTAACCGCCGGATAGAATCCCCCCCCTCCCTCGAGTTCTGTCTTATTAACCCCTCCCCTTCCCACCAGAATTATCATCTGCCTCCCGTAGACATGACATAAAGGCTTTACCAAGCATAGTTAGTGATTAGTAACATACTTAATTATTGTCAAATAACCACCATGGATCAAGTTTGAGCAAATTCTGCTGGAACCCGATATTGGGTCACTCAATCAAAGTGGTCATTTTCAAACATGGTTAGCTATTTTTCAAAAGTAAATTAGCTAACTCTCTTTTACTTAATACAAAGCATTACTCCATGTTATTCCATATCACCAATCCTGCTTTGAATAACCACCAAATTATGAAATTAGACGCAGGCCAAAATCTCGTTTGTCCCATTTCTCGCCAATGGCTGCACTTTCACCGACTTTTACTCAGAGCAAGGGTGACGATATAAGCTTGACTTACTCTTGTTAAATCTAAGAGACGGGCTATCGAACTGTGTATATTGCGCTCGCTAATTGTCTTTGGAGATAAGTCAATGGGGCGTGAACCAACCCTAGAAAAGCTGTGGCTGCCACACCTTTTTGGGGGTTGTGCCACACCCCATCAACTTACAAAGCCTCCAAACATGTATCTTTTTTATATGTTTGCGACTTCTAGACCACATGGCAAAAATTTCATTAAAAATTGTTTCCCTAGGGAAAGACATAGTCGTTATTCCTTACCCATGCCAATAAAAAACGATGGGAAAAAATGGGATTACGGTAATACGCTAGGTCTGCGCTACTACGTGAATTGCGAGGGAAGGCCTCAAGAGCAAATATATTCGATAGCCTAATCCTCGTAGTCTTCGCAAAAGTATGAATCTTGATTGGTCCTCTCAATTCTGAGGCATAGAAAGCGAAAAGTGGGACAAAGGAGATTTTGGCTGGCTCTTAATTCCATAATTTAAAGATTATTTGCAGTGGGATTCAAAATGTGAGCGAGGAAGTAGTTGTTCTTTGTATTAAGTGCAAAAAGAAGTAGTCAACTCACCTATGAAACAAAGTTAACATCCTTGAAAATGACCATCCCACTGGTTGGCTCAATATTAGAAAACCTCAAAATTTGCTGAAACTTGGCCCACAGGGGTTATTTGCAATAACAAAAATGATGCTCTTATTCTTCTACAGTTCTTTCATTAGATTACTGTACGTATGCGACGTTAGGCCATATCATTGCTAGTATTTTGCATAATGGGCCTATCCAACGTTGTTGACGGATATCATGTTGCTAACATTACCGTCACCTCGATAACGACTCAATACGCCCCCCCCCCAGGTGTGGCGTAAACATCCAACGCTTGACCCTGGTTATAAAACATTTACCACCGTACAAATTTATACTCAAATCAATGGTTTAGTAATAGCTATATTTCGGTAAATTCAAATTATTCGAATGATTGGATTTTTAATCGATTCGGACCAAAGTTTAGTGCTGATGGGTTTAATCAAGACGTTAGCTGATCAATGCTCTTTGGAATCTTTTTGTAATTTAGTTTTTGTACATTTTTCTAGTTTTGTTTCTTGCACAAGAGATAGAACAATCCTGGTCCTTTCTTGTATCAACCGTTGTTTTATTTCCTTAAAAGTCTTATTGAAAGAATAACTCTTGGACCAGCTTTGAATGAAAACACCTTTACGCTGGTTCCATACCGTTTTCCGCGCATGCTGCCCAGTTTCGACATGGTGATAGAGTTGTGCCGGAACTGTTCCAGTGTTTCGGCACAATTTGGAAGAAAGAATTTGTCGCGGAAATTGTTGGCTCTTTGTAGAGTGCACTATGACAATTATTATTTGCAAAACACTAATTCAAAAATACTGGACTTTGAACCAGACATATGTACACAACATTAGAAATCGTGTATTCTTAAGATAAAGACGAAAATTGACAAGCTATGTCTCATCCAAAAGATCTACGAGTAGAAGTTCAAATTTTGATACAATTATTTAGATGAAGTGGTGCAATGTCTTCGTTAAATTGTAGAAATCCATCTCCAGCTGGGATGTATTACAGCAAGACAGGAATATTTTTCGCGTTTTCATACCAGCTATTGAAATAACAAAAGGCTGTCACGTGGGCTTGTGAATCTAGACTTTGTAAGGGAGGATTGCGGAATCACATTATGAATTTGGTCCGCTGTTACTTACAAGGGAATGATCCGAAATCGAAGTGGCCAATTCAGACAAGCCGCATACCATTAGATGCAGCATGAAACGCTGACTCTAAATCTGTCTTCTTACCTGCTTATTGCTTTTTAGATGAAGCTATAAGCCATTAAAGACCATTACTTCGCTAAGAAATTATGCGTGAGATTGAAAATTTAGCCGTACAGAGCCACGATCGCCTTAATGCTGGGCCAAAACATGCAGCTAGCTTACTTCAAATTTTTAAAGCCAGAAGCTGAGCTAAAAGTGCAACAATGTACTCAATTTCGCTGTGTTTATATATTATTTTTTCATAATAAAACCGCTTGTAGCTTCGTCCACAGAAGCGGGAAGCAGATGAGGAAGACAGATTCGAAGTCAGTGTTTTATACTGCATCGAATGATATACAGCTTGTTTGGTTTGGCCACTTCAACTTCTGAACATTCCCTTGTTAGTTTTTTTTACAGTAATGCAATGTTGAGTTGGTGGACTCCTGACGGAGATTCTTGGAAACAATAATATGGTGTGACGAGCACATCCACTGACGTACATACATAGAGATGTGCGATAGAATTCTGTTGTATTTCAGTCTCGAGGTAGAAAACATATGCCCTTATAGAATCACGTGGTTAAATAAACGCTCCAAAATTATTTTACGGAGCTTTTCATTCGCTTTTCTGCAATTATGTTATCAGAACGGTTCCTCGCAGTTCTCAAGCCTGCAAACCTATTGTTTTTACCATGCCTAGTTTCAGCTAACCTTCGAAAACTACAAATCAGGCTTTCGAAGATGCTTCGATAGCAGTTGACGGACAGCGGAATTGTTTTGCAAAACAATTTGAAATAGTGTGGTGCGCGAACCCATCAAACGTCGAATCTTGGAATTGGAGGTTCTGAAACTTTGCTATCGGTGAGCATCAATTTATTGAAAGAAGAACACTCGAAGCGGCGATTTCATATGTAGTGTAACATGTTTCTACCTCAGGCAACACTTGAATTTTTACCACAGAAAATTCCCTCATAGGACGAGTTTTGCAAAGTCCGAAAGCAGATTCAGAATCAGCACTCTATACTGTATAAGATAGATTCCTTATGGGAACGCCACTTCGGCCAAGTACTTTTCCTTTGTAAGTAAAAGACTCCGTTAATATCAGTATTCGAAATTTCGAGGAATGCTACGCGTACTCATAGGATTGAAAGTCGTAAGATCAAATCTTCGACCCCTCCCCGAGAAAGTCGCGAAATTTTTGAAATTTAGCGAGGGTTAAATTTTTTCATAGTCAAAATTAGCCTTGTAAAAAAATCTTGTCGGGGACGTGGCTGCCGTCCCCCTGTTTCAGATTATAGGGCTTATGGACCTGCAAAAACTTTGAGAAGCACCCCAAAAAATTTTTTTGGAGTGCGTGGCTCAAAGCACCTTTCAGAATATTTGCTCCCCCCCCCCCCCACCCATGCGAACGGAAATCCTGCGACTGCCACTGCTACCAGATAGTGAAAAAAAGCTGCATCAAATGATATTGCGCTGCTTGCAGTCTAATATTCTATGAAGCTTAAACTGCTCAAATATGGAATTCAGTGATTTTTGATGTTTCTAGAAGAATCTCACAAAAGTCGGAAAAGTGTCTTGCTTTGCGCTATGTTTACTGTATGCATCCGTTATAGAGATATTTTGAAAAAGAAAAATGCTGAAAATTTGGCATGGACAAACGATCAAGGTTTTAAATCTTGACAGTAATGTGAGTGTCTGAGAGAAGAACTCGCTTGTAAACATAGCCTTGAGGAGAAAAATTTGCATCAACGTCGACTTGTTCAACGCATTCGTTTTATTCATTACATATGATTCTATGATACGCCGAAAAATATTAAAAGTAAAAAGTAACTTATTTACACAAACTTTTGGACTGACTTAATGATTTCGAAGCGTCAGCGCATTCCTATGCTTCTCAAAACCGTCAATGCTATCATGTTTTCAAATTTCAAAAGTTAAAGCAGTAACTTAGTTGCTCGTTAAAAGCTTTTTGTGGTTTGATAGCAATGTCTGTTTATCTGTACGTATGTGCAAAAACTTCCATTTTCAATTCGGTGTCCGGGTATAAACTCCGCGGCGAGTATTAGGCTAGTTTTCGTTATCAGTCAATATCGATTTTGTCAAATTCTTTTTTGTATTCTGAATTGCTGGGCTGTAGTTGGCACAGGCATGAGTGAGCATCTTCTATTTACATTTATCTTCTATCAAATTTTGCTGTCTTTGTGATGCGGGGCTATGACGTGGCGCAAGGAGTAGTGAGCATGCTGATGGAATTGTATTGATGTAATGAAATACCAATTATTTATAGATTCTAGTGCGTCGAGGGGGGGGGGGGAGGGTCAATGAGCAATGTTTAGGAGAACACAAAGAGTGCAAGATGGCATAAAGAAGTGGGACAGGGAGACGTTGCATAGAAGGTGGGTAAGGTATTTCTTAACAAAGTGTGTGGGCAAAGCCGGGTAAAATCGGGTATGCCATCTAGTGCGCTATAAAGCCACTCACCATCACCAGCTTCAAACCATCGCACTGGAACGTATGTGGATCCATAAGTGATTGCAGAGACTATCGCTGCAAAAACTCCAACAGCGACATCTTGTTGCATTATGATCGATCTCAATGAACATAACCTGATGAGGTAGTGAGCGTTTGTAAGAAAATACCTTTTTTACTGCAAGAATGCAACCGGGCGCGCACTTTGTCCAGCTCTACTACCTCTACAAATTTTGCATAATCGGGTATTCAAAACGCTAATCAACACGAAAATTCTATAATCGCAAGGGCGTTTTGAGTTTTGATCGAATAGTCTTGCTACAAAGATCACAAGAGAGAGTGCATATAGCACATGATCCAAAACTATGTTCTGATTCTTCGTCATCATTATTGGTTTCCTGGGATGAGTTAATGTACAAGAGTAAGTATTAGTTTTAATGTGTTTTCACTGTGTTAATGTGATTATTGAAGAAAAATCTGTATGCATTTTAGCGTCTTTCAGACTGATAGTTTTATGTGAATGTGTTTCTGCGCTGGTGGATATGCTGGAGCATCGGTGTAGTGAGCTGAGCATTTGTTGCTAAGTGGAGCATTGGTTGCGTGAGATGCAAAGTACGCATAACGTTTGCATAATTGGGCGCCAACCTCACACTAATTCCAACTCAAATAAACAAGAATTCAATTTTGTGGCCAATGAAAAAACAGTGAGGAAGAGCTCTATTTTGCACATTTTACAAATACAACTCAATGTTGTATCTCAACTAAGTGAGGGACTAATTACTTCCACGAAGAGCTGTCGAATTTTCTCAATTCCATACTTCCTTGAGTGAATTAACATCCAAAGGCAGCATGTGGGCATACTGAGTCAGAGCAAAAATCAACCTCATTTCTAAAGATTGGCACAGAATCACGCCACCCTCACGCTAGTTCTACTTTGAATGCGCAGGAGTTCAATTTTGCGGCCAATGGCAAAATAATGAGGAAGTCTGCTTTGCACAATTTACAAATGCAACTTTATGCTATATATACTATACTATAGTCTATACTATAGTATAAATTGGTAACTCAGTTAGAATCAAGCAAGTCTAGTCGATTCGAACATTGCTACCATTAATTCGCAAACCACTTTTTCATTTGGATTTATTGTTGTGCATGCAAGAACCCCTAGTAATTAGACAGCATTGTTGTGTTAAACTAAGTGAGAAGAAAATGCATACAACGCGCAGAACTGCAAGATGATGTTGTTTTAGTGTCCATTCCGAACGACAACATCAAAAAGCAGTTAATCAGAAATAGATTATATGATCGATACTGTATGTTGAAGCAATGCAGCGTGGTATGCCCGCACGGTAAAGTAGGCGATTGTGCTAAAGTGGGAGTGATTTATCAAATTGAATGTCCTAGCTGTAATGCAATCTACATTGGAGAGACCGGAAGACCATTAGGTACTCGCATAAACGAACACATGACAGATAAAAGGCGTAAAACTCAGTTATCACCTCTGGGCAGGCATAGAATTGAAACGCATGGTGGAGATGACTTTAATATCAGATGTAAAATCTTGACTTACGAAAAGGAAACCTCGGCTAGGAAAGCGTTAGAAGCATTCTGGATTTCAGTGAAAAATCCAGCTATGAACAACAAAAATGAGTGCGTATCCATAACCTCCGACTTCCTTCCCTTCATATCATTATGCGATCTGTAGATGACATCCGATGGTCATCTATGGTATACTTCATTCTTCCGCTGTGACCATCATTTCCGGTGCGGAAACTCGCATAGTGGTGATCTGTCGGTATGTTCATCTTCTGCCCTGACGTTTTTGCAATAGGAAAGTCAGGCGAAAGTCGAGAACTAGCAGGATTAGGAAGGGTGTTTGATGGCGTGGAACTACAGATAACACTTTAAGCCATTTTCAGGCCTCTGAGGAAGACGAAGGCGTCGAAACGTTAGGCCTCGATTGGATTAATAAAGATCACCTAACAAACCTGTTTGGCACAGAATACTTTGTCAATACGAACAATGCCCAGGTTTAAAGAAAGTGGAACTTGGAAGTTATTGGAAGACATACCGCCGAATCTGTTCCGCTTGGCACGTGAGACGTTATCGCTTCGACAAAAGGCGGTAGCTGTTCGCCAATCCTTAACGTTCCTCCAACGTTGCAAGAAATCCAATATCCTGCCTGCCTTCATCACGAATAAGAGAATAGGATATACCTGTGATCTCAGCGAAGATGATCCGAAGATAGTAAAGATCTACCAGTCTATTTTGAACGTTATCATCAAGCAAAAACAGAGATCATTGTATACCACTTTATTGAAATGCAATGCTAAAGAACAGGCATGTAAACCTGCCTATTGAACGTTGGAGGAGGATTGAGGATGGGTCAAAGCAAATCTGTAGTTTGATTCGATCTAAGATCAAGTCCGAACTCCGAGCAAAGTACGACCGACTCCTCACTGATCTATGTAAAAATTGTTCACGTGGTAGAAGTGACAGATCCGACAACCGCTTTGAACATCTTGCATGTCACAATGAAGGAAAGTCGAGAGTCACGGTTATTGGCAACGCTCAAATTTCTGCTAATATCGAAGAGCTTCTTAGCCTTGGCCCTTCATTCTCGCCTGCACAAAATGTTAACGGTGCGATTTGTCGCAAAGTAGTCGGAAGCCTGCACAAACTTAGAGACTCTCTAAGAATACGAGAGAGAAACAAGAGTCGCGCAACGACAGCAGTCAACAACTCCCAAAGCTTACTACCAACAATTCCATTCCCACCATCGTTTTACAGACAACCCGGACCCGTTCTTGAAGTAGACATCAAGTTCCGTCTCTTATGCTCAGGTGTTCTAGAAGTTCTCAACAGAGCAAAGCGACAACATCAGAGCAACCTGACACGCAGACAGTGGCAGGGATTCAAAGAGATGCGTGAGCTCGTTTTAAACGGTTCAGTACGATTGTCTGTAAGCGATAAAGGTGGCGAGTTTGTGGTAATGCCCCAAGAGTTAGACCGCCGCATAACAACAGCCCATCTAGCCGACTCCGCAACGTACAGAGTAGCCTCTGAGAAAGAATTCCAGTTGCAATGCAAGAAACTGAATGACACTTGGACGGCAATAGGCAAATCAGCCGGACTAGAGGATAGATTTATAAGCAGGTTAAAATTGAGGAGTCCGAGTTGTCCAGTGTTTTACAGCCTTCTCAAAACGCACAAGCTTTCTTTACGGGACATGAACTCAATGTCAGAGGAAACTTACAAAATCAGACCAATAATCAGTTGTGTAGGCGGCCCTACCGACAGAATCTCGTGGTTCTTGAACAAAATAGTGAGCCAGCTGCTATCAAAGATACCGGCACATTTGTCCAGCTCGCATGAATTTATCAAACAACTGCAGAATGCTAGGTTTGATTCGAGCGCAGTGATCGAGTCATTTGACGTGATCTCACTCTATACCAATGTGCAGAATGAGCAAGCCTTGCAGGCTCTATCGGAGATGTTGGATAAATACGGTGCTACTATGAATATGTTTGGACTGGGCAAAGCGCGAATCATGACCTAGTCAGCGAATGTTTGAAGTGCAACATCTTTAGATGGTCTGGGACCTATTACTCCCAGATACGCGGCTTAGCTATGGGTCAAAGATTAGCGCCAGTGCTCGCCATTTGCTTTATGAGCAAAATTGAAGAACCGGTATTAGCTCGCATGCCGCTGATGTACTGCCGTTACATCGATGATTGCTGTATTGTCACCTCCACGCAGTCCGAAATGGACATGTGTTTCGACCTTTTCAATCAGCAATCGCAGTATATAAAGCTCACTCGAGAAGCACCAGAGAACGGGTGGCTATCCTATCTCAACGCGCAAGTGAAGTTGTCCAAGGGCATTGTTAGCGTGAAATGGTTCCGTAAAGAAAGCTCCAAGAACATCCTTATAAATATAAAATCCGCACATCCAGCATCCGTGAAAAGAGCTGTCATTGGAAACATGTTCAGAACAGCCATGCTGATGTGCTCTGGAGAAAAAGAACGTTGCGAGTCACGAGATTTAGCGTCACAGATTGCTTGCAGCAATGGGTACCATTCTGTACCACACAGTCAACATCTTAGAAATGGTAACAACATTCATAACGATAATAAACTTCCACTATGCCTTCCGTTTATCTCTGATAGCGTCAATGCGGTTTTTCGAAAATGCATACAACGCGCAGAACTGCAAGATGATGTTGTTTTAGTGTCCATTCCGAACGACAACATCAAAAAGCAGTTAATCAGAAATAGATTATATGATCGATACTGTATGTTGAAGCAATGCTGCGTGGTATGCCCGCACGGTAAAGTAGGCGATTGTGCTAAAGTGGGAGTGATTTATCAAATTGAATGTCCTAGCTGTAATGCACTCTACATTGGAGAGACCGGAAGACCATTAGGTACTCGCATAAACGAACACATGACAGATAAAAGGCGTAAAACTCAGTTATCACCTCTGGGCAGGCATAGAATTGAAACGCATGGTGGAGATGACTTTAATATCAGATGTAAAATCTTGACTTACGAAAAGGAAGCCTCGGCTAGGAAAGCGTTAGAAGCATTCTGGATTTCAGTGAAAAATCCAGCTATGAACAACAAAAATGAGTGCGTATCCATAACCTCCGACTTCCTTCCCTTCATATCATTATGCGATCTGTAGATGACATCCGATGGTCATCTATGGTATACTTCATTCTTCCGCCGTGACCATCATTTCCGGTGCGGAAACTCGCATAGTGGTGATCTGTCGGTATGTTCATCTTCTGCCCTGATGTTTTTGCAATAGGAAAGTCAGGCGAAAGTCGAGAACTAGCAGGATTAGGAAGGGTGTTTGATGGCGTGGAACTACAGATAACACTTTGAGCCATTTTCAGGCCTCTGAGGAAGACGAAGGCGTCGAAACGTTAGGCCTCGATTGGATTAATAAAGATCACCTAACAAACCTGTTTGGCACAGAATACTTTGTCAATAAGTGAGAAGTTTTTACGTAAGACGTAAACATAAACCACGGCGATGGTGAAAAGAATTCATTTCGATAACATCCATACTGTCTTCTTCTCATGTATCTCACTTAAGCAGAGTCTGTTCCTAATCACCTGTTTCCACATACTTCCT